CCCTGTGCAAATGTGACTTTAAAATTATCATTTATTTATTTTACTATTACTATTGCTCAATAATGGCCATTAATTCAGCATTAAATGGAAGCTTATAACAAAAAGAACACACAGCTGCATGAATTACACATATATGAAAAATCAGATATGCAGAATAAAATCTAGCACATGATTTATAAATTACAGCCACTAGATGAAATGTAATGGATTCTGTTTCTCTAATAAGATTGATTCTACAAAGAACCAAAGCCCCTTGGGTCAAAAAAAATTAATAAGGGGAATGGAAGAGATATGTCAGTACTGACAAGAAGAGAGAGGTGAAGAAATCTATTTATTGATGCTGTATTATGTAGCATGACAAAAACGCCCTTCTCCAAGGTAGAAATGAGCCCCTCCTCAGTCTGCTGCTCCTGATTCTACTCTTTGCCTGTGGAAAAACAGGAGCAAAGCCAAAATATATTAGGCCCAAGCTTTTATTTTTCAAAGGAAAACGAGCCCAGTGCTTACAGTCCATGCATGCTTCAGAATATGCAGAATATTCAGAATAATGAGTCTACATTAATGTTCTGGGGCCCTAAGTCTTCCATACTGTGTTTTATACCTTTACACCATTTTTTTTTCTTCGTAAGTAAGAGACTTTACCCCAAACTCCCTTTCTAGATGCAAAAGTGCTCTCAGTGACCTACTTTTACTTATCTCCAACCTCCAACGGGCCATTATTTCTTAATGATTTTTTTTTCTGCAGTGGTGAACTTTTATCAGATCTTTTTCTCCCCCATACTCTCAGCGGAGAAATAAGACAAACGTGTTTTGGCATCCAACAAAAGCCCGTGCCACCTCCCACCGCTTATTACCCCGCTTTCAACCCCAAACCCCTGCGGGAACACGCGGGGCTGCAGGCGGGACCAACGGGCCATTATTTCTTAATGATTTTTTTTTCTGCAGTGGTGAACTTTTATCAGATCTTTTTCTCCCCCATACTCTCAGCGGAGAAATAAGACAAACGTGTTTTGGCATCCAACAAAAGCCCGTGCCACCTCCCACCGCTTATTACCCCGCTTTCAACCCCAAACCCCTGCGGGAACACGCGGGGCTGCAGGCGGGACGCGCGGCCCCGAGGCGGAGCGGCCCCCG